CAGCCAAGTTTGGCCAGTAGATCTTTAGTGGTCATTGTGTAATGGTGGAAAGTGTTTTTTTCTGGGTTGATTTGAAAAACTCGATGTTAAATATCGATTTTAAATGTACTTTATATGAAAACTTGATGTTTTAGTTATCTTCTGCACACAGTAAAAATATTTTGCATTTTAGTATAAAGTGATACTTACCCAAAATCTTCAAAATGAATGGTGGGGGTTAATGTGAACAATAAATTCTCGGCTATCCAGGAGACGCCGCGTCGTTGGCTGGGAGGCCGATGTTTCGCCTGACATGTCGCAGGCTTCCTCAGGGCAGATGATGTGTAATGTGAACATTGACTTTATGGCTGTCCACACTAATCCCATAATATTGAACATCAAAATTTTACATTTTTTCAGCGTGTCTGAATATAATCACACATGTGCAAAGATTTTTAATTAAATGACTAGCTCTACACTGTTTAGGAAAGTTTGTGTATATGATTCATTCATATTACATTTACAAAATCGTATTGTTGCAAGGCAACCCTGAGCTTAAATATAATTGTTCTGAAATTATTGAATCAATAATATAATTTATACTTTTGTAGACGATAATTGCTAAATAAGTAAATGCTATCTTTCTTTGGTACTTGTCTTTTACTCATTTCAGGTGGTATGCTATAAAAGTCCAAAGATGCAATTTCAGTGAGGAAAGAGTGATTGATGCATAGATAAGCCTTCGGAACTCTTTCTACAAAATAACTCTTCTAATAGAATAATGTAATAAAATATTATAAATCCAAATAAACAAAAAATAAATGTTTTTTTGCGACCATATTATCTCCATGCGTTGTTTACATTAGCCCCAAGGGGGGTAGGGTGGACAAATGTATGTGCATTTGGGAGTAAAATATTAGAACTGATTATATAGAAAAGTACAAATGAAATACTAAGGTATGCAGCAGGCATGGGATGCACTTTAAATTTCAAAAAAAAAAAAAAAAAAAAAAGAATTACGTTATAACATTCTGAATGGTAAATGTCCATTATAGCCCCCTCTCTCGTAATATTTACTTTTTAAATTTTGCTAAAAATTAATTCATTTTGTTGCCCTTATTTGAAATGGACCAGATTGATATTTATTAACTGAAGGAAATTATTTAATGCTTTACGTGGGTTAAGCCAGTGACTACACTTACACTAATTGATGAACAGCTTATTCGATTATTCCATCCTCTGTAAAGACAGTGAAATATCGCTATTGTCGAAACTTGTTAGGTGTAATAAAAAATGTGAAGACGACGAATGAAAACGCCCAACATTTTTTGCGTCAGTTTATTCCTATTTTACTCACAATATGATACTATGTGTTTTAGAATAATAAAATTCAAGAAGGGGGGAAAATGAAATCTTTTCTTAAAAGTATATTTGTTAGTCTTTTCAATAAGTAGTTAACAAAATAGCTGATAGAGAAAACATGATTAAATGTATTAAGTATATATTTATGGAGTATATCTCAGTACAAGGTTTAATTTTTTCCTCATCTTTAAACTATTTCCGTAATTTTAAGGTAAAAATACAAAGGATAAACCTCGGTTGACAGTCAGTGTGATAGTTCGGTAGTTTCTCAACCCGCTTGGACCAGAAAGAAAGAAATACTGTTTCCGCCTATAAATTTCCGGCGTTTAAGTGGAACCTAGATAAAAGTTTATAGATAAATTGCAATGCTACGTTTTTAATATATAAATTGAATTTTGAAATGTATTTTTGAATTAAAAATGCGTTGTCGCAGTGCTTGGGCAGTGGTGATCATGAAGCAGCACCCCGGAATCTCGAATGTATCAGTTTGGAAGGTAGTGGAATCGTGTCTGGCAACAAGCCGAAAATGTACTTCATTTATTATATACATCAGTGAGTTTATGACGGGATAGAGTTGATCGATCTGATCGATGGTTTCACCGATCACCCTGCAGACGCAGCATTGCGTATAACGGGCCACTGACCTTACGAGATCTTTTCTTCTCAGTATCGTTCCATTCCATAACCGTCATCGCATCATAATATTCTCCCCAAATCCGGTCTAGGTCATCGAGGGGGAACGACCCGCCCCCCTCCCCCCTTAAGAACAGGCGGCGGGGAGGACTTCAAAATTCAAGAAAAAGGAATGGGTAATTTTACGTCGATCACCCCTCAACTTGCTTCTAGAGGATTGTGCATTTGTCGCCTTTGTTGTGCAGATGCGACGGCAGCGATGTGTGCGCGGGAGAGAAGCGCGTTTTCTGACGGGAGCTTCGTCCAGGAGAAGCGGCCGGGAAGATCCACTTATAACAAAGCGTTGGGTTTCTCGTTGATTTCCAGGCCATCGGGCTCACCTCCGTCCTCGGACAGCACTGTGCAAAAGCAGACACAATTCATTTCGATTTAGAACATTTAAATGTTTACTGTCAAAATCTTCTCATTCCAATTCAATTTCAAAAGCGAGACAAACTTTCTAGTGCATACACGCAGTTTAATACTTAATATGAACGGAATACGTTTATGTCACATTTTACGTAAGATTCATCTGCATTTGAACTGTATTTCTTTCTGAGAATACAGTGAATTTCAAAAATACACAGAAATGGTAATTTTGGTGAGTACTCGCAAGAGTTGGTTTAAAATCTAATGCTTCACTTGTCCTATTGTAGGCTCTGAGCACATTGTCATTTGGAGTTTCAAGAAGAACTTTAAAGACCGAATTATTGCAATATTCCACGGTTTCTAAAACAATACGGAAGCATCACAGTTATCATTCAATGAAATAATAATACAAAACCTGACGTTTGTATAAATTCATAAACGGTTGAAATCAATTCCATAGTAAGTATTAATGGTTTTTAAGTACAATAGAAGAATATGTACTACGAGCTGTGGAATTTAAAATTACGCCACTATCATTTCACACTAGCAAATCTGTAAACAAGTTCAGAATTAATTTAGGAAGGGGCTTGTTGTCTAAAAACGTCAATTCAGAACGAAAAAAAAGAAGTGAAAGAAATGCCGATTTCATTTTCTGTGTTGTCAGATTCACAATCAAAATTAATCCAGTTCTATGCCTACTAAAACTAAAATCCATTTATCTGGATCTAAGTCAAGGAGGTCAAATTAATTTTTCTGGCTCCTGTTAACTATTCGGAGTTTGAATATTATGTGAATTAAAGTTTACATCAATTTCCAACAGGATAATGAACAATCCGACACTGCACTATAGTTATGGAGTATTAATAGGATTTTTCATTTCCATTCTGGCCTCCAAGGAGCCCGAATATGAACTCGTAATTTGTGGTTCCAAAAGCAGAAACGGATTCGTGATACATCACTACAGCACAGAACTATGCGCCATCTGAAAGACTGACGAAGCGCTTGTGGTGCCTGCGACTTCAACATCCTGGAATCTATGTCTCACCGAGCTGTCGCAGTTTACCAGACCAAGGTTTGTTTAGTATTATGTACTGAAAATGTAATTAGTTTGATGGAATCATTCGAATAATGTTATTGACGGCATTCGGTTGATATAGAAAGAATAACTAACGAACTCCGTAATTTCTGATATCGGTCGGGTGTCGTTCAGACACTTTCGAAATAAAAATAATACCACTTCCTTGGAATGTGCCTACTGATGGGCCAAATTTAGCTACAGTTCATTTTCTTCGACTGAAACTTGTTAACGGACGGCGGACTGCAAAACTCTTAACAGACGCCGAGACCGTTCGTTCATCAGTTCAGTCGGTGTAACAAAACATATTACAAATAAAATTTCTCGGAGATGAAATTCGTCAATTCCATCGAACGGGCGGGTAATCCACGCGGCGGCCCCACAAGGGGAAGCGATATGCGCTCTGCGTGATAGGTCGAAGCGTAGCGGGGAGGCCACAGGCGACCCAGCGCAGTACGAATAGCAGCTCTTCACCTGGTTCCGAAGCGGCGTCCTCGAGCTGCCGCCGCCACACCATGTGCTTCACCGCCGCTTCCCCTCTGGCCCCACTCTGCGGAACTAGACACCCAATAGAAGGCCGATTTTAATTGGTCGTTTTAACGTCAAAAATCAAACCTCTACTTATCAGGAGAACTTTTTCAGCAAGTCGGAACGCCAGTCGGACGAGTCGACGGAGTTCGCCGGACGGAGTCGGACCGGAGTCGCGGACGGAGTCTGGACGGAGTCGGGACGGAGTCGGGACGGAGTCTGGGACTGAGTCGCGGGACGGAGTCGGGACGGAGTCGGGACGGAGTCGGGGACGGACAGTCGCTGTACGGAGGTCGGGACGGAGTCGGGGGACGGAAGTCGGGACGGAGGCGGGACGGAGGCGGACGGAGCGGACGGAGGCGGGACGGAGGCGACGGAGGGCGGACGGAGGCGGGACGAGGCCGGCGGAGGCGGGACGGAGCGCGACGGAGCGGTACGGAGGCGGCGGAGCGGACGGAGGCGGACGGAGCGGGACGGAGGCGGGACGGAGGCGGGACCGGAGGCGGGACTGAGGCGGGACGGAGGCGGACCCGGAGGCGGACGGGGCGGACGGAGGCCGACGGGGCGACGGAGCGGGACGGAGGCGGGACGGAGCGGGACGGAGGCGGGACGGAGGCGGACGCGAGGCGGACGGAGCGGGACGGACGGACGTGGGCCGGACGGGGCGGGACGGGGGCGGGAAACGAGGTGGGGGCGAGGCGGCGGCGGAGGCGGCGGAGCCGCGGGCGAGCCGGGGCGGAGCGGGAGCGGAGCCGGGCGGACCGGGGCGAGAGGCGGGACGGGGGCGGGACGGGGCCGGACGAGCGGGACGGAGGCGGGGGTCGGAGCGGGGTCGAAGGCGGGGTCGGAGGCGGGGTCGGAGGCGCGGCCAGGCCGTGGGGCTCACCTCCTTTTTGCCTTACCAGAGGAAGGCCCGCCCGAGGATCGCGACTAGTTCGAGCAGGCGCGAGTGCGAGGAAGAGCGGCGCCAGGCGGGCCGAAGGCTGAGTCTCCCGTGGGCGCTGCGTCCGCACTCTGCGCGGCTGCTGTGCCTTCGAGCCCTGAGCGTCGCCTCGCCGCCCGGCCGCCTTCGTCGGCTTGGCGCGTGGTGGCGTGGGCGTGGGGCGTCGGCGTCGGCGTCGGCGTGGGCGTGGGCGTGGGCGAGGGCGTCGGGATTGGGGTCCGAATCGAGGTCGTCGTCATGGGCGTAGTCGGCGTCGTCGTATTCACCTGGCATCACATACACCACACTTTCTTTTTCAAAATTAGAACATTATCAACATAAATATTTGGATTTGTTGATATTAATATAATTTGTATTATATAATATTTTTCTGTCCCTTTTGTTAGTTTAAGACAACCTCAATTATATAAATCCAAATTTAGTTCAAAATTTTGTTCAAAGAAAATTTACGTTTCGTCGATTTGTTAATCTCCTTCATCAGGTGTAACTGTATTAACAATATTATTTTTAAAATTAATTTATTAATTTAAAATGATGTGTTCAGTATTGGTGAATAAATGGAAGATCATAAAATTACAGAAATAAATAACACTACACCCAATTATAGATGAATGCTTATCTGTTATTCTATATATCAAAAGAGTAAAAAAATCATTTCAACCAATATTATGGAAACTGGACCCGAAACTGAATAAATGGCAGTCAGAAGGCAGGCCGTCAGATGATTGGTCACGCGATGACCTTCAAATCGCTTGAGGGTGCACGCACCCACGGTTAACATATTGTAAGAGCAGAGGGAGTAAGATAATGATATCTCGTTTGTGCACAGCAGAGTAATGTTAATGTTCCTTCTTCTAAAACGTCGGGATTGTGCTTAGAGTGAATAGAAAGTCTGAAGATCGTTTGAGTATTGCGGAAGAAAAAAATATATAGTTCTTCTCTTCTTAGTAGCGTAAATACTCGCTTCAGTTCATAGAAATGCGAAGTAAGTTGTCACTGACACACAGACTGTTACTAAATCGAAAACGTACAATAAACGCTCTCTCCGGGAATCTGTGCTTCTGATGCGAAAAAGTTAAAGGAACTACGAGTGTCAGTGAAATGAAAACGAGTCAACTGAAGAGAAAAGTAAGTGAGCTGTGTATGATTTCAAAAGTAATCGTCATAATTATTTATAACTATATCTCACTGTTAAACAAGGTAGTCAATGCCTTCAGAGAAAAATGTTTTCAGTTTCCTACGGAACAATGATTGTATGCAGACGTGCACCTCTTCGTCCGAAGCAAATCGACGGGGGAGGAGACGGTATTCTTAAGGAGAAATGGCGCCCAGATCACACTCATTTTCTCTATGTAGATACGTATCAATTACTTCCAAAGTGTAGCAATTAATTAACAATTCAATATCTGGAGGTTTCCGTCCAGTTTCAACACGAATTTAACTTATGAGTGTGCTGGCGTCGCGTCAAGCCAGCTCACATGCGTTTTCGCATCGAAAATACGAGGCAATTAATTCCAAATTGTAATTAATTAGCAATAAATCATTTCATATGTTACCGGTGTGCTGACATGGCTATTCCAGCTTGACGCACCTCACCTGCTGTCCGTCGGAACTGGACCGATGTCCCGAGAAGTAGAGGCGGGCGACCAGGTGGGCGTGTACGTACCGCGGGGAAGGTGGCCGGCGTGGTCGTGAGGTCGGAGTCGTCCAGGTCGACGTCGTCGGTGGCGTCTGGGTGGGCGGAGGCGTTGGTGGACGGCGCGCCGCCGATGACGCCGCACGAGTTGGTGACGATGCAAGCGGTGTCAGCGCGCACCACCAGCCTGCGCGACGCGCTCACTGCCGACGTCGACTCGCCATAGCGGCTCACTCGCACCTGCGCACCGCGAGAATCGCGCCATTTCTGTAGTGAAGCGGAATTCATAACTGCAGCGTTGATTTGGAGCTTTCTCAGATTCTGTTGCTATCGAAAGGATGTATATTCTACCTGCATTTAATTTAACTAGGAAATACTATGATTATTTAAAGCTGTATTTAATTCTTAAATGATAATTTTAAATTTTAAATGAATTCTTTTCAGCAGGATCACTTATAACTCAATAACTGAATTTTTTGTATTGTTTTGACACATTGTTTGAATTAATATTAGTGACGAACCACTAGGGAGATCATTACATGATTAAAATTTTGGATTCTCTTTCCCCCGCATGCGTGAGAAACGCAACCGGAACTGGTCTCTTTGGGTTCTGGATCTCAACCGTACTGTTCAAAATATGCCGTTCACGTACACATAAGCAAATACTTATTTTAGTATATCTGTCTTAAACGCTAAACTTGGAATATCTCGTCAAAAAATCTCTTTTTGTATATTAGGGAATAGAAAACAAAACCCTTGTCAGTAAGGGTCTACTTTTGAGGCCAATTAGAAAAATCAACCCAGAAATAAAATATTTGTGTTAACTTTTCTTTCTTAACAAGTACATTCAATTATTTTGTAAATAATAAATACTTCTGTTTCTGAACGGTTTCTAAATGTTTCTGAACGGTTTATGTGTTTCTGCAATGCAAAGTTTTGCATAGAAAGTATTTTTTCAAATAAATTTTTAAGTGCTCTTTGCGGCTCAGCCTCTCGGAATTTCCAAGAAATTTATTCGACAAAATATGCTTAAAAGTGTCTTAAGAGCATATTTTTGACGTCTCCTCTCTGGACAACCTGTATAATTAAATAAAATAGCAATCCGCTTATTCACAGAGATCAAAAATACATCGGTGCCATCTCGCATATCGTGCTGTGTGTAAGAGAGTGGAGAGTGTGGAGAGTGGCTCACCTCGACGACGTGCTGCTCGCCGGCCTTGACGAAGTCGGTGAAGAGCGCGCAGAACTCGTCGGGCCACCCGGCGCAGGGATGCGTGGGGCGGAAGGACACCCAATGGTTGGAAGAGAAGTGGCCCAAATCAATCCATGTGTCCAGCGTCGTATTCAGCACCGAGTAGCGCGCTTGGTAGTACAGGCGGCTCCTGCACGGCTCCTTTACGGGCGACCAGCGCAGTTCCAGCCAACCGGGCCCCGCCGAATGCGCACGCAGGTTCTCCACGGGCGGCGGCTGCTCTGTTGGGCAGCGTTGCATTCATTCATTCATTCATTCATTCATTCACTCATTTCATTCCTTAATTCATTCATTCAGTAGAGTCCAGCGCAGCTCCAGCCAGCCGGGCCCCACCGAGAGGGAGCGCATGTCCTTCACGGGCGGCGGCTTCTCTGTTGGACACCATTTCATTCGATCTTTTATTCACTTCCATTCGCTCATTTAATCATTCATTCACTAAAAGTGTGACGCACCTCCACCCAGCCGGCACCCGCCCAGTGTCATGGAGGTCCTCTCCGGGAGTAAGATTTTCTGTTATGCATTTCATTCATTCACTTCCATCCTCTCATTTACATTTAATCACTTGGTGTTCTCCAATCCTCCAGCCAGGCGGCCTCCACCGAGTGTGTGCATCGATTCTTCAAAATCGCCAGCTGGGCTATCCTGCATTACTTATTCATTGACTGAATTTGTTATTTTATAACATCATGACCCCTAGAGGATGGTCGAAAGCCTATAGTCGACACCCAAGACCTAAAACGGAGCTTACTACTTCAATGAACTATGTTCCCTACACTGCGATGAACGTAGTCGAAGAAAGCTCGTCGTTTTTTGTTGTCACGATTACTCACAAGCGTATGCACACGGTACTCTTCCAATTTTCAGATCATCGGAACAGTTTTTTTTTACTTTCTCGCCTTCGCCCTCGGCGAATTTTAGCCAGAATAACTCTTGTTGGCTGGCGCTGGTAACAATAAAGTTGCTAAATCCTGTTGCTAAATTTAGAAAAGAATCCTCTAGCACGTGGTGTAGCCAAAAACTCTATTTTGTTGGTTCTTGATACCGAAAAATAGATTGATGACAGAAGATTTGTGTGTCGGTCTGTCGTTTCGTGTGTACGCAATGCTAGCGCCTAAGTCTTTCCGCCGATTTTCTTCAAAATTTATATTCGCCAATTGTTTTGAATGAACTCGCAGCTTTGGGAGTTTCAAACGGATATTTTGATGGTATTTCACAAGATGTCTCAAAAATATTTTAAAATTTTCTTAAATACGGCACCAAACTTTGTCTTCGAATAGCGTAAAGAACGCTTAAAAGAATGGTGATCTCATACTCGTTGAAATTACAAATTTCATCAAAATTCTAAAAACCTGAATTATATTGAAGATATAGATTTTTTCTTCAACAAAATATGTTCCGTAATGACAGATGTTTAAAAAAGCTCATTTTTAATTTTTCAAACAGTTTCCTTGTACTTTTGCGCGAAATAGACCATTTTTTTTTCAAACATCGCCCAACATTTTTTCTATAAATTTTCTCCTCGAATATAATAAGGGACGGTAAATAAAATTGTAATAGTCCCATTTCAGATATTGTTCCGTTTTTTCGGAACTGGACTAAAAAGTGAACATTTCAGAACTACAAAATTGGACAAAGCGATTTCGGTTTTAAACAGTCTGTTGTAAAAAATTAGTTTTTTAAAAAGGTCATGTTCAATTCTGTGAAAGAACGAGCTCATTTTGCTCGATTAGCGTCTGAAATGTAGGTAATTTCTAAAAAATATCTAAAAAAACTGCACCAATTTAAAAAATATGTTATCGTTATATGTAATTAGGCGCGATAAAACATATGGTGCTGGTCCAATTTTCGGCTATTTCGTTTGTTGAAAATGACAAAAGAGTGAACATTTCAGAACTGCATAATTGGAGATTGCTTTAAACAAAGTCTGGTGTAAAAACCCTGCACTTTAAAACTGGTATTGTAAAATTATTTGAAAAAACGAGCTAATTTACCTAATTAGTGACTGGGATTCATGCAATTTCTAAAAAAAAGAAATATTTTCTTAAAACCTGCTCGAAAGTTTTTCATCAAAGTTTCTCCACATATGTACGAACTTTGTATGGTAAATAAAGAAACTAGTGGTGCTGTAGAATGGCACAGACTTTCTCACACTAGTTAGTTTTCTAATTTATTTAATCTGAACAAGCTTCTCGTTATGTCTTATTTCCTTCTAGCTGCCTTCTTTTGTCGCTCAAAGGAAACATTTTTCACATTTTCTCAGCTTTTCAGTTCCCTAGTGCTAGAACCGAAACAATCTGTCTTTAAGACAATTATGGAAGTGTAGGACCCTTGTCCACCCCGGTTGGCCGAAGTGGTGAAATGGGGGTGTGGATTCAGCACGTCGCCACGCACGACGCGTCGTATCAAACGGTCGCCTGTTCGAGTCTCGCACGAGGGATTTTAATTTGATGAATGTTTTGCTGCAAAAAAGTTTTGAGAGTTCGAGAAACTTTTTTGAAAATCATTTGAAGCGCTTCTACTCACAAATAAAATCAACACAGATCAATAAACCCGATGTGTCTGTATGTGCTTTTCGAAATTACAACTTATAAATATTGTTTCAACTCTTACTCGATTTCTAAAAGGAATGTCGCGCCAAATCAGTTGTTGTCTGCTTCTCCATCTGTATGAACCAATTTAACTAAATACTACTTAATATTTCATCATAAAATATAAATGAATTATAGACATCCATGTGACGAACGTAGTTTTTCTTTTACCGTGATATCCCTTCCGAATATTATTACTTCTCACTCTTACGAAAGTTCTTGACATACGGTGCATTTGTGGCGTAGTGGTACGAGTATCGGCAAGTTAACTCTAAGGATCTGAGTTCGAGTCTCGTAGCGGAAATAAAATGGTGCTGGTTGAAAACACTTTTGCTAATTTCTGTAGTAGCATAATATAACGGAGCATATACATATGATGCGAGAAAGTACGTGCTTTTGTAGCACCACTAGATTTGTTTTTGAACCACATATATGTGGTGCTTTCAATTACTCTGCCTTTTATGTAAAATCTATGTTGATGATCATCGATGCGTTGAGGCTAAAATGAAGGTCGTAAAGAATGCGTAGGGTTTAAGACCAGATTAACACCACGGTAGCAACCTCATAGTCGAGTATCCTTTAAAAGGACCGTTTCTGCCCCACTCATGAACCTACGTTATTAGCAATGAGGGAGCAAAAATCGTAGGACGTAAGTTCAGTGCATGCAACTGTTGTATTTTCTCCTCAGATTTTTTTGCTAAACAGGTGGTAGTAATGTATTTGCAAATCTATTAAAAAAAATTTATAATCTATTGTAAAATCGCTCCAACATTTCCTTGAGCACATCGAAGCCCAAGAAGGACGGATATTAAGTAATTATTTTCCTATATACGTTTAATGGATGCTAATCCACTACATATTCTATACTGCATTTTGTGTACGAGAGAGAGAGAGAGAGAGAGAGAGAGAGAGAGAGAGAGAGAGAGAGAGAGAGGGAGAGCAAAAGAGATATAAGAAAAGGCATTAATACTTTAGAAATGGAAATCAGAGCATTTTTCTACGCTATGCATGGTTGAATTAAATTTAATTACAAATATATACGCTAATTATATCTAAAGTAATTTAAAAGGTCAATCATTTTTCTTTCGGCACGTATGGCCGTCATCTAAACTCATGTAGAAGACAGAACTCCGATCCCAAATGTTGTACGTCAGATTTTTGCACTTCTAGTTTATTGTACGTCATATTTATTGTACTCCCATGTTTATTGTAAGATACACCCACCTTTTTGCTGCTGTTTAGTGCAATTAAGAGCGTTTTGGCATCTAGTTTTATTATCAAAAATCGCAATATTTAAATACATTGGCCGACATGTTCTATGTTTCAGAGAAGGTATTGATACTTGAGAAATGGAAAGCACTGCATTTGTTTATGAATATTCACGGTGAAATTCAATTTAATGAAAACATGTAGTCTTTAATAATATTTAAATTAATGTAAACAAATCAGTGAACTTTTTTTTCTTTACTCACTCTCAGTCTTCAAATAATTTACCTAACTTCATGTAGACGTCTAAACACCCACTCCTACAAACATTATACATTGTCCATCATTATTCATTGTCCTCCCGTCTTCGTTGTATGCTCCTGTCATTCTACAGAGCGACGGTCCTGCACCGAGGGCGTTGCGCAATGTGCTCTTTCCGCAAGGCACTAACTATGCAAAGCGCCATGCAGCAGTTGATTGCGCATCGCCAGCCAACTCACCGGGGCAGGTCCGCGCTTCCAGCGTGGGTATGACGTCGCCCGCGTACGCGGGGCCGAAGCTGGGCTTGAGCAGGGCACGTAGCACGTAGAGGGTGTCGGGGCGCAGGCGGTTAACGAAGAAGTACTGGGAATGGAACTCGGAATGCACCTCTGCGTCCGCCGTCTTCCACGCGCTCTCGCCGGCCACCTGCGACAGCGAAAGGTTCCCACTGACACAGCGTGGAATGGCGAATCTCTAGCAGCACAGGGAGTTTGCTAAACATTCGTGGGGACATTTGTAGCTTCGGTTTACTTCTCCTTAAAATCCGTGATCCCTCCTTCACTCGCGACTCCCGCCAAAGCTCGAACTGAATTTAATTTCGAATCCCATCTATCGTCGAATTTTTTTCAGCCCTCATATTCCACCAATCCTTGCATCTTTTCAATTTTCAAACTCTCAAATTATTTGTATATTCGAATTATTAAAATAAATTTAATTCCCAAACTCTGTGTGGTTTTTAATTAGAATCGGCTTAATTATAGAAAACGACTGGAATGTTATACGTTTAAAATCTGATTGTTTCTGTTGCTGCACTCTCAGCTTTCAGTCTTTTCCACATACCATTCCACACCTCGTAAGAAACGTTCCCTCAATTATTATGCAGATATGGTCATGCCTTAAATACACACATGAACTCGAATTTCTTACGACATTTAAACAGTGTGAAATTTGTTTGCATTTAATTTGATAGCACATGAATTTATGTTGCGCTGAAACTCAACTTTCTCTTTATAATATAAAATGTTTGATGTGTATGAATGATTCATATGAATATAATGCCAGAAATTTCGTAAATGTCATAGTGGCGTTTAAATTGGAATAGCTCTGCATTATCCTTTAGTAGAAAATATGATTGGTAGATAATTACTTGCAGACAATATTGCGTGGTTTCGTTATGTCTCGTGATTAAGTTTTATTACACTACTAGAAAAAAACGTGAAATTTTAATCGGATATTAGCAATGAAAAGACTAAAAGTGTTGGAAATTTTCTTGTAAGGTGCACGTCCTTAACTTTTAAACTAATCTCTACCAGCTAATTATATTTCACAACTTACCTTGTATTGCCAAAAGACATTTTTGCAGTATTGTGTGCACTCTAATTTCACCAAAAGCATGTCTTCGTGCGCACGATCCAGAAAAGGAACATTTGATATATACAGCGGCATTCTTGGCAGAACTGAAAAAGGTTTATTTCGGATTGTGTATAGTTACTGAACGGAATCTCAAGGATCGAAATACGGACCCGGTACTCACATGCAGTCGTCGGGACTAGCTGGGCCGCAGCCGCCATGATCACGACCGCCGCCGCCCGCGCTGCTGCCATGGCTGACTGATGGACGACGCCTCTGGTCGGTAGCGATAGACTGGGCGCTGTCGCTGCTGACGCCACCCTCGCCGAAGCCTCTGCGGCGCAGCGGGCGGCGGCGGGGCGGACGCGGCTCGCAGTGTGTCGTTAGGTGAATGAATAAATGGATAAATAAATATATCTTTTCCCAAAACAAGGTACCCTAAAATCTCAGACTCGTAACTAAAACCAGCATTGCCATTCCTCTTCTGGCACTGGGCGGTGAAATCCTTGCTTATTGAATGAAGATGTTTAAGAAAAGGTCTAAACTCATTTTTTGTGTACCAAAATTATAAAAGATCATTTCGCTTGCAAGAAATCATTCATAAAAAAGTTATCTTAGACAAATGATGACGTATTGTTTTTTACGAAACGAATTATTGCGTCATCACATTTTTAGCCAATCACAGCGAGAGAATCGTGGGAAGGTAGCTGATCACCGTTTTCTCGCACAGATGTATCCGAGACATCACTAGCAAGTTATTTTGCAAACTGAAGTGTGATTCTCTTATAAATTTATAACACAAAAACATGCGTATGCAATTTGTTTATAATGTTAATTTTTATTGCAATCGTACAAATTTGAAAACTTGCTCCTAAGAACGCTCGTTTTCAAAATATGTCCTCTTGCAATAAAGCTTAACACTATAAATAAATTGCAAAAACTATTATTTCCCCACTAAGTAATTATCAAACAGTTACCACTAAGTAATTACCTAACTCGCAATTAATGATTAATTTCACATTTTACATTTAATTTTACATTTGAATCCTCTACGGATTTAAGGGTCGAAAACAGGCCACTCTAGATTTGCTTTGGGGTAAAACAACACCAAAAGTAAGGCATCTCAATGAAACTGCTTTAAAGTAGATATCTCTACTAGACACACACGAAGAAAAACTTCATATGTATCATTTCTCAATTACAATTTCTTATTTTCGGAAAATTCACTCAAAAACTGAAAGCAAAAAAAACAACAAATTAAAAGGTAACTGAAGTTCTCTGCAAATACTGCTTTGGAGTAAAACAACACCGAATTTAAGGCATCTTAGTCAAAGACAACTAGCGTGACCACACTAAAGACAACTGAAGTGCACACAATTTTTTCGTGAAAACAGTGTTTAGCAATAATAATCAGAAATGGAGATGGGATAGGGGTCACAATTAGTATCGGAAACGATATAAGGGTACTTTATCATATATCATATTTAATATTTATTAGCATTCTTTTACGACATTTTGGCTGTTCGGGTGACGCCGCGTCGTCTGAAGTATCGTAAGCTTCCTCGGGTAGTGACGTAATACCCTGAAGAAGACTGCGATATGACAGGCAAAACGTCGGGCTTTCGGCCAACGGCGCGGCGTCACCCGGACAGCCAAGATGTCACGAACTCGAGCTGCGGAAGCTTACCTATACAGCATTATTTTACTTAATCTGAGAATTAATTACATTATTAAATTATTCTAGCCGAAATTCCGTTTTACGGAAATATAATATCCTAGGAAATACTCTATATCTATAGGAAAAACCAAGCACTGATTCTAATATATCTTTCAAGAGTGACACATTGGATGCGAAAAACATCACAGCCTTTCTGGGAAAACGCAGTTTCGCTAACTGTGGGTTCTGTGTGGTAAGATAAAGACTATCAGGAAGTGTCAAATAAATGAAGAGTTTGTTCGAAAAAACACTGACGGTTGTGTACTTTCGGCGATAAATACACGAGTTCAAACCGGTGGCGATGGGAACGGATGACTACCACACAACTCTTCCCCGCCGTGGCTCGAGTTCGTTCTCCGGGTATTCCATGTGGAGTCCGTGGAGAACGAAGTAACGTCTTGACAGCGTTTCTCGAGACTTGTCATTTGCTCTGCGTTTCATTCTTCCAGTGGGAGAGGCCTAGTTGCGGAAAACCGCACGAGCGAACGTGGCGGTCGGCTCACCACCCAGCGGGAAGGATCACCGCCAACATCCCCGGCAAAACATGCACCACGCTTACGGTACAAAGGACATTAGCTGTTGACGCGCCCGGGACCACTAATCGATCGATCGATTTTATTGGTCTCTCGCTGGAGGAGATACCTGGAGGGGAAATGAAAGCCACCGTGAAAGTCAGAGACTCTAGTAGGGGAGGAATTTCACCCCCTCCAACTACAGGTATTCACTCCACTAAGCCTACTAATGACCATAGAGTTGACGTGATCAACATCAATCAATTAATCAACATCAATCAACACACATCAATAAATTAATAAAATTAAAATAGAAAAGCCACTTGCCCTAAATTTACGGGCACAATGTCCTAATAAATAATTGACGTGCCTGTGATCAAAAGTCTCTGACTCATTTACTTCAATTTCAATTTAAAGAGGAGTAGTACTAAAAGCTCCCAAGCTCGTCCAATAATTTTTTTTTCCTTTTTTTGGCTTATTCTTTGTCTAACGAGCTAGCAGCTCCCTCCGTCGCAGCCGCCTGCGCTTGGTGCCTGTGTTCTTCCGCCCAAGATAGATATCCACCACCCGACGTAGAGTAGCTTAGCTGAGCCCAAATAGGTACCTCTGCAACTCGAACAATGGCGAAGTAAAGACGGAGATGGACCTATAGGCTACCTCCAAAAGCCGATGAGCGGTCGGATCCCAAATCGACATTGATCACTACAATGAATAATGTAAAGGAAGGAGGACGGGGCTGGTGTTAATATATGAGAAAGTATTGTAAATTGTGTGCGTGTTTTATAAAACACTATTATTGATAAATAAGAATTTGATAGCCCTTTCGTTAACGCCATTCAATGTTATTTACAGCGTGTTATAAGGCAATATTCAGAATAAATATGAGATATTTTTCTTAAATTTGTAAATATCATCCAATAGTTTACTCTCACAAAAACTGGTAAATGCGTGTGAAAAAAAATTGTATTTCACTTACTAGTGATACCCAAATGTTTTACACAATGGAACTTTTAACATCACTTAAAAAATACATTTAAGGCTACATAGACGATAACTTTTCATTTACGCAGAAATGTATTTTTGAGCACTTTTCCACACTTCTGTTCGCATTTCGTTTGCCACTTTATTTCACTGAGTGGGCGTCAAAAACACCTTCGATGTCAAAAAAGATCTATATCCATTTTGAATCACGCAAACACACGAACATGCTCGCAGTCAGCTCACAATATAACGAACAAAAAGACGTATCGCTTAGTAATCCTTCCGCTATCATGGTCGTTTATTATATACTGGTGTTCTCCGATTTTTCAAACATCTTACTCATAAAATTACAGCTGTTTTTTCAAATATAATAACTTAAAAACAGTTGTAGAAAAATGTTGTTTGCATTTCATGAACGAACTGTATGTTTAAAAAAAACACCTACTTCGCGGATGTAATTTGAAAATATTTGTGGCACGAGTGGTTAAAGTGACATTTTATTTTCCGAGTAGGAAAGGATGCTCCACGACGCCGATAGGACACGAGTAGAACATTTCTATGAGCAAAATAATGTGGCGAAAGTGATATTTGCTCTCAGGAAAGCTCCACTCGGGCTAATGGTCTCACCTTTCCTATTTGCAAAATAAAATTATTCCTCCACGTGTGTCAAATATTAGTTTTCGACTTAGTGAATCTTTTATTTTAATTCAAGCATACAAGCCACTTAATTGGGTACAATGTCACATTAAGATCAGGTGTGGCTGTTCAGACGATCGTGTGTGTTTTTTCCCTTCAGCGTTTACAGTTTTAACCGCACATGTGAGCGTTGTCTCACTTTAAGCTCTTGTGCAAAAAAATGAACTTTAGCACGCCGCGCACGTCCTAAAACAACCGCTTTTACGAGTTGCTGCTAGAAATAGCCATTGTATCCGCATTTTCGCATGTATACACCCACCGTGCTCCTAAGCAGCCGCCGCTAATCTCTAGATACAGACAGTAGCGCATTCCATTGTTTTACCAATCCCGCCATTTTATAGCAGTTGTCTGAAGAATTGAATCTGTGTGGTACTCTGCGCATTGAGAGCCATACATTTTGCGTGTTGAGACCCAAACCAATATTAATATTCATGAAAATCTCCATACCGTCACCAATTGTTATACTTTTCTTTCATTTCCTGATTGCTGCCTGGCAGGACTATCGGATTTTAAATGGCGGCGGTGGCTGCGCTGCTCTCTGAATCTAGGGAGTCTAGCCACCGCCCCCGCCGTCTGCAGGCGTTTGGCACGTGGCACGGCGCGGCGCGACGCTATCCGAGGAGGAAGCGCGTGTATCAGCGTGCCACATCCGCACGCTGCGCGCCAGGCCGGCGCGTGCGCGGAGCACGTCGCGTCACGGTCGTGATCTCGCGGTTGGCAAAAGCACGGCCGCGCAGCCTCCTCGGGAAAGCAAGGCAGGCGCACGAAGGAAACAATTCGGTTTAGACCCTTCCTTTCTGGAAATAACGTTGATTCCCAAACGCAAGTTGCAGTGAGGTGGAAGATTAGCTCTTCGCCATTAATAAACGCATTATTATTATTATTATTATTATTATTATTATTATTATTACTAAATGTAAGTCTTCTCCCAAAAATAAGAGTTTTTTAGAAGATATTTTTGAAAAAGCACACGACTAACAACGACATTCTTGAGCCGAAAAAGTGCTTTCGGCTCAAGAACTTCGCGATTAAGCACACTTTAGAACGTATGTCTAAAGGATTAGATAATCTATGTCAACGAGTGATAAACACAAACTGAAGAAAACTAGAGGCTCTACAACAGCATATACTTTTTGGCGTTATTTCCTAATTGGCAACTTTCGAAAATTCACACTTCAACGATAATGATAACTGCACCATTATTTTTAGCGTCTCTTTATCTATCCGTAAAAAACATTTGAAAATTTTAAGATTTTTTAATAATTTGAGTATATATAACGTAGTTTTTGTTATATAATAGACAGACTTCAAGCAGAAATTTTGCAAAAATTATTCGTTCTTTAAAAAAATTGTATTTAATTTAATTTGTC